TGCCCGCCCCCTCCCCCTCCCTCCTCCCCAGCCCTCGGCACCTGCCTGTACCTCTTGCAATGGGATGTTGACCAGGGTCATCAGCTCCTTGATGGCCACTTGGAGCTCCTGAAACAAGTGGTTCTGGGAGGTCTCAGCCTCTGGCTCCGCAGGAATGGGCTCCTCCACGCTGGCCATCTTCTGCAGCCATTCCCACTCCTCCCTGGAGAAGGGAGAGACAGACAGGTGCAGGAGGGAGCAGCTCGCGGGGTGGACGAACGCTACGAGAGCTGTGTTTGCTCGGCTGTTCCTCCCCACGACGGTGCAGCACCCCAAGGGATGCGGGACTTGTGGAGGTAGAGGGGGACCTTGGTTTGCTCCAGCTCCAGGCTGCCCTGCATGGCAGGCCGTGGGGCTGAGAGGGAATATTACGCTGCTACCAGGAGCCTGAGAGCAGAAGCAGGAGGTGATGGGTGCTCTCAGGCTGGATGGGACAGAGGAGCCTGGCTGCCCTGGGTGAGCTGTCCTGCAAGCCCCACCTGGAGATGTTGGGGTTGGAGCGAATCTTGACGTGGCACAGGATGTTGGGGAGCCGCTCCGGCACCAGCACTCGGATCTGATCAACGGCGCTGCAGAGCTTCAAGTAGCCCAGGTAGAGGCCTGGGGAGAGGGCATGGCTGCTCCGCTGGTGGTAAGCCAGCTTGTCCTGAGGAGAAAGGCACTGCTGGATTGAGCAAGCCCTCGGCACCAGGGCTCTCTCCTGCCCTCATGCCGGCTGCCGCGGCACCACCAGCCCAGCCAGCAGAAGGGAAGCGGCAGAAGCAGGTACAATCCAGTGCTGCCAGGATGAATCCAGCACCAGCCTGATGCCTCCCCTCGAAGCAACAGTGTTTTTGCAGGCTGGTTGGGTTCTGCTCCCCCTCTGCCGGCAGCCAGGACCAAACCCTCGGTAGCCCGGGCTCTGCCATGGCCTTTCCAGCCCACGGGGGAGCAGGGAGCGCTGGTGGTCCCGGGAAGGAGCCCACTGCAATCCCCTGCCGTGATGGCACTGGCGCAGCACCTGGATGGAGATCAGCAGTGTGTCCAGAGCGGTGGGCTCCTCCGGGGAGGACACGGACTTGCGGCTGGTCTGCAGCTTGCAGATGGGAACCCAGCGGACGCTCTCGAAGGTCTGGTTGGTCTTCACCTCCTTCAGGGTGACAATGAGGATGTTCCCCTGTTTGTCTTTGACAGGCTCGAAGAAGACCTGCCCCAGGTCCTGGATGCCCAGCAGCCCCTGCGCGATGGGATGGGAGGGCAGGAGAAAGCAGCGGGTCAGGGGTCATCCTCGAGGCACAGTGCTCTGTGGGTCTGGGCAGCCGGGGGGTGACCGGGGGTCTCCCCTCTGCCTGCTGGAAACCAGCCTGCCCAGCAAAGCACCCACCGACAGCCCCCAGTCCCTCTGCATGAGATCGCCATGAAGCCTGACACCCCATTGCTCCACGACCGGGGTCCTGCCAGGGAGGACAAGGCCAAGGACACCCAGTCCTGCCGCTGACTGAGCCGTGGGCAGGACTGGCAGAGCGTGTTTTCCTGGCTGTGGCACATGCGTGTGCTGCTCCCAGGGGAGCAAACCCTTACAGGCGCTCACTCCCCCCCCCAGGCCCATCCTCACGTGCATCTGCGAGATGGCCAGCAGCATCTTGAAGCGCGTCTGCAGGATGCAGGAACAGGACGACTGGGAAACGGTGACGCACTGCCGCAGCCACAGGATCTCATCCCACATGCACGACACCTGCAGCACACCGAAGGGCTGTCACCACCGGCCGCCGCTGCCCGCAGCTGGTTCACACAAGGGTGTTTTGGGGAAACCCATTTGCCTTGCTGTTTGAGCTGGGTTAGGAGCATGCACCTGTGCATATCACTTCTCCGCGGGGGTGTGATTTCTTATGCCACAGGCACCCCGAGATGCCTCCAGAGCCTGTACCTGAGGGAAGCACCATGCCGTGTCCACTCAGATATCTGTCTTCATCTAGGACTGAGACCTTCTTAAGTTTGAGCAGAAGATAGCCAAGAGAAGGAGGGAGAAGATAGCCTTCTCCCTCAGTAGAAAAGGACCATCCAGCAAAAGATTTTGGCCCTGAGTTGCCCACCTGCCCTTTCACTAAGCCTACTGACAGCGGAGAGCCAGGCAGCAGCACCCTGCATGTCCTGCTCTGTACAACAGAGGCAGAGCTGCCATGGCAGGATGCTGCGGTGAAGCAGTTAAACAGCTGGGGAGCCGCTGGCATGCCTGTGGAGAGGCAGCGCCCACCCGTTGAGGCACGCAGCCTGCCCAGCGCGGCACCGGTCCATCGCCCACCCATCACGGCACGCAGCCTGCCCAGCGTGGCGCCGGTCCATCGCCCACCTTTGGGCTTCCAGTGACTGGGGTGGAAATGCTGTTCCCTGGTGGTTTCTCGGTCCATGCTGAACCCCATCGAGCAGCAAGCCTACGGGCTGCCTGCGCTGCCGAGCCCCAGCACCCGGGACGGAGGGGGAGCTGCTGCCAGCTGAAGGCAGCGGCGGTGCACGATGCCCACTTGGCTCACCCCGGCACTCCTGGGCTGCAGCTGGCTCTCGCCATCACTCTGCCCCGCGGAGCACGGGAGGGCAGAGGCACAGCGGAGGTCCTGGAGGCAACGATGGGAAGCCCAGGAGCCGCCAGATGTTGTGTCGTCTGGTGTGAGTAGCTGGAGTGGCTTGTGCTCACTCTGTGCACATGGGGTGTCCCCCGACGCTGCTCCCAGCCCCGAATCAGGCCCAGCCAGCCCCGGAGAGACCCCCACAGCTGCCCACGCACGACGGGCACAGCTGCCTGCGCAGGCAGCACTGGGGAAGGTGCTGCAATAAAGGCGCTCTGCAGATCTTGGTGGCCATCATCTCAGCAGCATACGGGGTGGTGGCCAGGCAGACAGAGATGTGTCAGGAGCCACGCTGCTGCCGTGCCCCAGTGCACAGCACAGGGTCCCTGGGCCACCCACCTTGGTGAACCAGAGAAAATCCTGCATGAGCAGGCAGGAGTAGGTGTCATCAATCTCCACCACGGGGATCTGGTCTTCATGGGTCACCAGGATGTTGTCATCCTTGTAGAAGATGGCTGTCAGATAGAGGCCCCTGCATGGGAGGGAAGACAGAATTCAGTGTCACCCCCGGCTGCCAGCTTCATTTCCCAAAGGGTCTCTCTCCCAAGGGCAGAGGAGATGCCCTGCCCCGGGTTTCAGCTGCTCTCCAACAGCCCGTGGCAGAAGAGGCACACGGCAGTACAGGAGCGGGAACAGGAACCCAATGCTGCCAGCAGCGCGAGCCTGGCCAGTGCCACAGCTGATGCCATGGCCCATGCCCCGGCCAGCACAAGGGAGGGCGATGGGGCCAGGCCTACGCAGGAGACACGCTGGGGTGCCTGGAAGCCAAGCGTGAAGGTGGGTGGGGTGTTGGGTGATGCTCGGAGATGGTGCAGGGATCTGGGTACAGGCTCAGCTTGGCCAGTCCAAATGGAAATACCAAGGAGAAACATCTGATCTCTGGGCGATGGGACTCACCTCCACTGACACCACCAGCTCTGTCCAGGCAAGGACCCACCTCTGAGCACCCCCCAGTCCCTGGCTTGTGCATGCAGCTCCTGGCCATGCCTAGGACAGGCAGCCCTGTGTCCCCACCGGTAGACGGGCTCTCCACCACCCCTGCACATCAGCCTCTCACCGCTTCAGCGTCTTGAGAAACTTGCTGCCGGGGTGGAAGAGGTGCTTGAGGCTCTTGGAGACCGAGTGCTTCCTGCTCTGGGGCTGGCTCTTGCAGGGCTCTGGGGAGCAGAGGGCAGAGGATGCTGCAGCAGGAGACGAAGGACCGCGCTGGCAGTCTGCGGCACGGCACACCAACCCGGTGGGAAGGCTCTGCCAAGGTCTCCACTGCCTGGGCTGTCTCCCTGCTTTGCTCATCCATGAGATAGGCCATGTCACAACCCTGGGGGGCCCGGCTGGATCCCCCCACCCCAGTGTCCCTGCAGCGCCATGCCGCGCACTTACCATGGCAAACGCAGTGCTGGTGGACGGTCTTCACCTGGCCCAGCAGATGGTCCAGAGCTTCAGCTTGTCCCCTTCGCCGTGGAGCCCGGCCATCGTACTCCCGCCAGTCTGCGGGGGACAGACCGGCATCACCCCCAGCACCTGGCCCATCGCCCCCAGCACCTACCCCTCAGCCTGGGAGAAAGAGGGCTTCCCGTCCCCTCCTCCCCATGGCAGGTCACCTCCTGGCACCCCACCTAGGTGTCCCACAGGCACAGCATGGCACAGCATGGCACAGCATGGCACAGCAGCAGTCGTGTGTGGGCACCTCTGGGTGGGCTGGGCTTTGGGAGATCCCTAGTTTTGCGCGCCTCTTCCCAGGAGCACCCTGGCTCTGCACAGCACCCCATGGCCACCAGCCACCCTGCAGCATGGCGGGGACACAGCAGAGGGAAAGAACAAGGTCCCATCTGTTGCTGCCACACTTCACCGGCCTTAAAAAATAAAATTCTTTCCAGTGTCTTCCTCCAGGTCTTCCCTGGAGCTACAGCTTTCTCCGGGCGAGTGCCGAGAGCTGGGCTCACCTCTGCAAACACATAAATAAGCTCTCCTGCCAGCTCCACCCATTGCGAGATGGCAGCAGGACCAGGAGTGGGGCCGGGGACCCGCTGGCGCTTCTACGTTAGCTTTACATTAATTGCTTTAAACACCCCCTGTGTCCTGCCTGCTGCTGTTTTCCATGGAAAGTTCAGCTCTGTTAACTTTGGCTGGGGCTCGCCACTATTTTTAGGAGCTTTAAAAACACCCAGGGAGGTGCCTGACTATATTCTGCTGGGCCAGGGAGGGATCTTTACTGAAGGGAGAAATATTAATGGAGATAAAAATAAATAAAACCCACTCATGTCTGATTCACCTCAGCGGTACTCTGTATCAATGCCGCGTGGATCTCGGTCACGGGGAATGTGACCTGTGCAGGATGGCAAAGGGGCTTTAAAGTGGGTGCAAACATGATTGACAACCACTGCCAGGACAGGGTAAAGCCAGGGCAAGGCAGTGCATGGGTAGGCTCGTTATATGCATTCATATACATGCAAATGTACTTTTGCATCTTTCCATGCTGGTGCTATAGCGCTTGCGTATCTGCAGCTAGCGCTACGCATAGTGCCTGCGCATCTCTGGCCCCATCGCTGTTCACGTGCCGTCAGCCCTGCACCTCGACCCGTATGTGGGGCATTCACTGCTCACATGCAGCAGCATGCCCGGTCCCTCACTGCCTGCAAGTGTGGTGGCAGGGGCCGCGTGCCCACCGCCCTGCTGCCTGCTCGTGGGGACGCGCTCAGCCTCCCCAGGTGCGCACGGGGCCGCTCCTTACACATCCGAAGGCGCTGATCCCGCGAGACCACCACGCAGCAGAGACCTGTCTCGGGACCAGTGGTGAGGGGCAGAGGACACCTCAGAGCCCGCTCAGCCCTGAACTTCACCCTTTGGGGCTGCTCCTTCCAGTTCAGTCCTCCTGGCCTGTCTCCCCCAGCACCCTGGGGTGCCTTGTGTGAAACTGGGGGGCTTTTCCCCCTGCTTGCCCTGATGCCAGTGTGGGGAGGAAAGTGCTGACAGCCCAGAGCTGGTCTCCAGTGGGGCTCGTGACCCCCATCCCAGCTTGGTGCCAGGGAATGCAGGTGCCCAGGGCTGGGCTGGATGGGCGAGAGCTTGCGGTGGCACAGGAAGGGCTCCAGGCCCACTGCCACTCAGGACCAGGACCGCTCCGAGCCCTGGGGGGGCACCTCCAGGGGCTGAGCTGGGGCATCCCACTGTGTCTCCCCTCAGCACGTGCCAACGGTGGTTTAGCACAAGCTTGGCCGCCTTGGGGCAGATGTCACTGAGGCAGTAAGGACTGACCCCTCCCAAAAGCTGCCCTGTGCTAAATTACAAACCTCTGCTAAAAAACCCAGAGGTGGTTTTCCTTCCTACAGAGGAGATGGCTGCATTGCTTTCCTTTTAACTGAGAAAGCAAAACATCCTCTCTCGTAGCTTCCTCCTTAGGATGAGCTGATCCAGGTGGCCTAAAATGGCTCAACCTTTACCAGGCAGCCGGGAGAATTTCAGGCTAAAAAATCACTATTTGGGAAAGCTCCTATCGGCTGGAGGCAGCATGCCGGACCCCCGGGCACAGCCTCCCTGCTTGGCCCAAGACTCCAAATGTTGCCTCTGCTCCTGGGTCCACTAGACGCCATCCCAGCAGTGAGAGGGACCCGTGACGGCACAGGGAGCTGCCGCCTCTCCCCATCCATCCTGCAGCTGGTGCCGGCTCCCGCGGGTGTTCCCAGTGGTACTTACTGGAAGGGATGGCGAAAGGGGGCACGGAGGCTTGCGGGGGACCCCAGCCCTTCATGTTGTAGGCAGACACCTGGACGTAGTAAGCCGTGCCCTGCGAGGAGGGAAGCCACACTCAGCGCACCGGCACCTCCTCTGGCCTGGCATGCAAGGGAAGGAGGATCTCCCTGTAGCCCAGTACACCACGAGGAGTACTAAACTGGGAGCCTGCACCCCAGGTCACTGGCTCTGACCTCCCCCAGCTGTACAAAGCTCTTGTTATCAGATACTAGAGAATCCCCACAGCCTGGGTGGCTGGTTTTGGCGGGAGGCAGAGGAAAGATCGGACATTGCGAATGCCCCCTGCCAGGAGATGCTCCAGCCCCAAAGACATGGGGCTTCCACAGCCTGGAGGGCCGGGGTGCTGCCTTCGCGCTGCGACATGCAAGGATCTGGCCCCTGGAGAGAGGGAGCTGGCCCAACACTGTTGAGGGCTTGTGGCATGGCGACAGTGATTAAAGGCCTCTGATTAAAGCTCAGTCAAGCTGCCAGATGTTGCAAGGCCTCCAGGCACTCATGAAGGCGGACAGGAGCCTGCGAAGCAGCTCTGAAAGCATGATTGATGGGGTTGGGCCAGCTCCTTGCAGTGGCACTGCTCCGGGCTCCGCTCAAGCCCTTGTCCTGCCGCACGCCAGGGCAGCTCTCCTGCCCCGACAGCAGCTCCGGGGCTCTGGCACCACTGCCTTGGCTAAGCCCCTCTAACCACATGGAGGGCTTCCCCCGCTCCTCGAGCCGGTGGTCCCTGCCTGCCTGCCCCGGACCTTTGGTGCTGCCCTTGCCTGGTAAGAGCAACCCCATCCATCCCAGCATCTCCCCGTGTTCCCATCCCAAGCTCCATCCTGCCGCGGTCCCCATCCCGCCCCGTCTCCCCTCGCCAGTCCAGTGCGTGCCAGGGACAGGACGGCAGTCCCTGGGGAGGGGACAGCTGACAGGCAGCGTGGCCCCTGGAGTTCTCAGGGCGATAAAACAGCGGGAAGCCCCGGCCCCAACCAGCCCGTGACCTTGCTGAGCTCCTGGAGATGAAGACAGGGCTGGTCCCTCCTCTCCAATGAGCGACAGGGCTGGTGCGGGGGGTCGATCTGTGCAGGTGGCAGAGGAACGAGCCACTGATTTATTGCCCAGGAGGAGCACAGGTGGAGATGGGAGCAGGGTGGGGGACAGAGGATAAATCAGGCGCTTGGTGAATGGGCCCATTCTGCCTTTCACTCAAGAGTTCCCCAGGCAACCTGTGCAGGGGGTTTCCCCATTGCCAGGGTGGCCATGGCCATGCAGGGACAGACAGATGCCTATCCCGGCCCCACACTCTTAGCTCTGCCCATGGGCTGTGCTGAACACCACCGTGGCACAATCCTATTCCTCCTGCTCGAAATGATGCCCCATCCCCTCCCCGCATCGGTTGCAGGGAATGACCCCATGGGCTGCACCATGGCCAGCGGCTTTCCCCGGCTGTGGGCTCTCCCCCGGCAGCCTGGACCCCTGTGGGGCACCCTGAGAGCTCACCGACACCAGCCCCCGGATGGTGAAGTGCAAGTTCTTCAGCTTGTCGATCACGGCCTCCCCCAGGCACGGCGAGAAGGTGGGGGAGCAGCTCCATTCCACTGAAAGGAGAGAGACCCCAAGATGCCGCACGGCCCCGGAGCAGGGATAGGCTACCAGGGCTGTCTGCAGCATGTTGGGGCCAGCAGCTGCAGAGGGACCGGGGGCAGCGGGGGGGCC